GTCGAGCTCTGGCCTGCCACAGCCCGTCAGGTTGGATGCTGGCGGTCCGCCTGGATGGTCTTCTCGGACTGCTGCAGTCGGTCCATCATGCAGCCCGCGTGCATGCTCATGCCCGGGGACGATGGGATGCGCCCCCAGCTTCCTGCACTCGAGTCGGGGTTCCATGCTGAAGAGTCCGACCGAAGAGGGCTGCCCGAACCAGATTCCTGCGACCGGCGGTCGCACCGATCGCGCTGCACCTCGCCCAGCAGATCTCAGATCTTGCATCATCCATTTCATCTCCGTCACCTCTTTGCTGCTGTCCGACTTTGGAGTCCGGCGCCGCAGAGCGCCCCGCCTCGCCATCGCTGTCCACGTCGCTCTCAGGAGGCGTGACCCCCCCGAACCTCGGGGGGCGTCGGCGACGCGCCCAACTCGAAAGGGCGGGGGCGAAGGCCAGCGCGAACGAGAGGAACAGCAACAGGAGCTCGAGACGACCACCCTGGTGCAGGTAGTCGTCCAGTTCCATGATGAGCATCGAGTGGGTGTCGCCCATCTTGTCGACCGCCCACCTCGCCCAGCTCCAAGCTCGGAAGTGCACCGCGGCTTTTTCGGCGAAAAAAGCAGCCCCCCCGTCGTGCCCCGCGCACAGGTCGACCGCAGGAAATCGGCCCCACTGCGAAGCCAAGAGAGCCCGAACCACAGGGGAGCCAGCGTGCAGCGCTGAACTCCATGTTCAACTGCTTCTCGGTGCCCGCCTCCAAGGCCGTCGTTTTCTCCTCGGCGAGCAGGGCGGACACTTGGGCGCGCGCGACCTGGGGCTGCCGCTTCGCGGGGATCCTGGACCGACCCTTGATGTCCACCGACCCGAGCGCGCGGTCGGGGCGGGCGAAGATCCTGCAGGCGTCGCCCTTCTTTTTGGGATAGAGCCGCATCGGCATCAGGGCGACTTCGCCCTGACCACCGCCGAGGTTCCCGTGCATGCGGCTCCATCGATGCACTGTGGACATGGACAGTCCGATGTATTCTCCGAGGCTGATGCGGGGGCTCACGCGCTCGCAGCACTGGAGCGGGTCGGTCTCGCTCGCAAGTACGATCGGGCCCTCCAGGGCCCACTCGAGGAATCCAGTGTCGCCGAGGAAAGAGAAGGCGAGCACTATCGCGAGGGCCTGGCGCCGCGTTGCTGATGAGCCTTCGGCGAACAGCCGCTCGCGGGGCGCCGCGCGGTCGGGGCCGGCTGCAGACCCCCGCGGCGGGTTGGGGCACAAAAGGCTTGAGCGACGCGTCGGGGAGGTGACGTCATGCACCTCATCGCGACGCGGCCCCCTCCCCCGACCAGAGCACGGACGAATTAAGTTTGGAAAGCGATCAGGCCGCGTTGCCAGACTCCCGGGCCCAATGGGATTCGTTCGCTTCGGATTATAGGAGGAACAGCAAGGGGCGGGCGTTCCCGGAGGATGTCCCAACTCGCGCCCTGTTTGACTTCCTCAGCTCGAAGGGGGCCCTCGCGGCCCGGGTCAGGAGGACGCAGCAGACAGGCGGTGAAACTGGGGCGGCCTGGCATAGATTTTGTGTTCGGCGTTGGGGTGGCGCCCGCGACCCTGGCCGGCGCGCCGCCGCCTTCCTTGGTACCTTCCCCCGCCAGTATGAGCTACTGCGCAGCCACCCATACGATGCCGCTCCGGGGGGGTCGGTCGCGTGGGCCAGTGGTCAGCGGCGTGCCTGGTTCTCGTGGTCTGCGGCGTGCCTGATTCGTTCCAAAAGCAGTTGCGCCGCCCAGGTGCGACCCCCGCTTCAGCGGGTCCCCCTGCGCCCGTGCTTCTACGGCGCCCGCCCCCCCTCGCCCCTGGCGTGCCGCTGCCGCCTGGCCTGGTGCGCCGCCCTGCCCCCCCGCCCGCTGCCCGGCTTGGCTCCGCTGGCGCCCGCGCTCCCCCGACGCCCCGCTGCTACCCGCCCCCGGCGCGCCAGCGCCTCCAGCCTGGCGCGCCACTCCCCCCCGCTTCGGCGGCCTCCGTCGCCCCCCCTCCCCTGGCGCGCCTCCGCCGCTCCGCGCGGCGCGTAACCGGCCCCTCGCGCGTCGCACTTGCCGCCCTGGACCCGGCGCCGCTCTGGCGCACGGGACCGTTTCCGAGCGCCCGCGCTGGCCTTAGGGCCTCAGTTCTGCCGCCCCCCAGCGCGGTCACCACCTGTGCATCGACGGGCGCCTCCCAATGCTCAGCCGGGCCGCCGCTCACGCTGCCTCGCGGGCTGCTGCCGCCCCGCCCGTCGGGTGCCGCCCGCGCGCGGGGCGATCCTCTCTTCTCTGTCCTTCGCCCCTCTCGCCCCGCTGTCTTTTCTTCCTTCCCTCGACTCGCGCCGCCATGACGCCGCCGCGCTGCTTCGCCGTCGCGCGCAGCTCAGCCCCTTCCCCCCCGGTGCCGCCCCGGCGCGACGCCCAGCCCCTGCCGCAGTTGCGGTGCCAGTGCAGCGGGCACCGCGCGGTTGATGCACTGGATGGTTTCAGCATTTTGCTGATGAGAGTCCTCGGCGCTCCAGCACTGGTTCTACTTTCTTTTCACCGCCACTGCGCCTTAGCAGCGCCCGCGGGTGCGCCTTGGCCCCAGCCTTGGACCCTGCCCCGACAATTTGCTTAACAGTGCCTCCCGTTCGCTTCGCGCTTAGGCGGATCGCACCTAACTCGTCGCCGACGGAAAAAAGTGCGGTAATCATTTGTTTGGTCCAGCTTGCGATTGCAATACAATTCCTTGCGCGTCGGAGCCGCGCCACAAACGATTGCAATGCAATGGTTTGGCCGGGCCACCAGCCAAGCCATTGCACTGCAAGCGTTTTCGCCTTTGTCGGATTTTTTGCACAGAGGGATACGCCAGAGAATCGCACTCGGTTGCGACATCGTAATTCTATGCTCAAGCTAACTGGGCATTCGCATGGCGCAAACCATTGCGATGTTAACCCGCAAACGACTGCACTGCAACCATTTGGGCCCCAAGCGTTTGCTTTGGAATGTTTAAGCCACAAGCGGTTGCATTGCAACCGTTGACGACCCAAGAGGTTGCATTGAGGTTGCTCCCGAACCTTTTGTTATCGGCCCTTTTGCGCATTTCCACGCCATGGCGCGGCACGGTAAGCACGTCATTGTCCCTGAGCGTCAACGTCCCGAGCTCTTCCCAGCGTCCCGCCCCGCGGAACGGAGCGACACGCTATCCGTTTGCAGGGCATAGCGTGTCGCCGGAGTTGCCGCGGCGACGCGCGAATCAAAGTTCTCGACCGTAGATGCTCCAGCATCGCAGAGCTCGAAGAGCTGGGGCGTCTACGCACCGAGCTCCTGGGCCGACCCGCCGACGTGGTGTATACACAAAGCCCTTCCCTCCCGCTCTTGCCATGCGCGCCCGCGGCGCCAATCCCGCCGCATGACAAGCAATACGCTGTTTTTTTCCGGCCCCCCGCGGCCTGGGGGACCGCCCTTTTTCTGCCCGAGGATGCCGTGCGGCACGCGATCTCGGGCAGGGCCGCGCGACCTGAGCGACAGAATAAAACGGGGTTGACTGCGTGGACGTTCGCGCGTGAGCTCCCCGCGTGAGGTCGCGCGTGAGCGCCTTCGCTCTTCACGAGGTGTGCCGCGCTGGCGGCCTGCGTAAGCCACCGCGTGAGATCGGTATGGTGTGGGCATTCGTGAAGGAATGTGCCCAGGAGTTTTCAGACAGACGCCGGAGCATTCCTGATCTGATGAGGGCGGCGGTGAGATCTAGGGCCCATGGTCGATCTTCAGTTGGCGTTCCACCTGCTTTCAGACCCTGGATTGTTCTTTATCCCAGGTTTCCTGAGCCAATGCCTTCGACGTATGTCTTCTTGTCCCAAGCTCGAGTAGGGGATCGACTATAGTTGATTCACCCCCGATGTGTTGGTTGCGTCGAATCTACGGGGAATTTGGCGAACGCTCCGTAGATCTATCGAGCATGTTGTGCATTGTTCGTGGATTCGACGGAAAACATAATGTAGATATAAATCATTTCTGTAGTCGGTGCCTTACTCGAAAAACCGTTTTCTTTTGGTCGCTCACCTGGCAGCCCGCTCCCTTCCTTGCTCGCCCCCCGCCTCCCGCGGGCCGAGAGCGCTCCGAGGGAAGCTGCCACGGCGCCGGGGGGGCCGATTTTCGCCCGGGGGCTCAGGCAGCTCGGGCGCGCTGCCGGGACGCGCTCGCTGCCGAGAAGAGTTGTGCCCGCCTCCTCCGCTCCCCTCCCCCCGTCCTCAGAGAAGGAAAGGGTACCCATACCGCTACCCCTCGGCCATTTTCCCCTTTTTGGGCCTCATGGGAGGCCCTCGTCACCACCGCTGTATTCGCTTCGAAATTCTGGTCAGAACGCACCCCGGGAGAGGTCCAGGGGGTTGCGGTACCAGTACTTTCCGGTTTCCCCACATTCGCACTTTCCCGAGCTCCGTGACCGCCGCCTCCTTGTCTGACGCTGGCCAAAGATCAGCTCGAAGCTGTTGGGTCCCGCAACTACCCGAACTCCTCACAGGGACGGGCGCCAAGAACAGTCCCAAGACTACGATTGCGAGAGGAACAAAATGCGAAGTGTGGCAGTAGTGCTGATAAGAACGCGGAGCAGGCTAGATAAGTTGGAAAAGTAGAGTAAAGATATACAGTAAGCACAGTGTCAAGGACATGACCCACCCTACCCGCAGTAAAACCACTATCCACCTTCCCAATAAACAAGAACCTTCACAGAGGGACCCGCCGCCTCTCCTCCTCCTGCTCCTGCTCCTCCTCTTCCTCCTGTGTCCCTGCCTCCTGGATCCCTCCCGTCCGTCGCCATTTTGGCTCAAGATGCTGTGTTCCACAGGGTAACACGTGGATACCGCGAGTCCGCGGCTTGCTCTCAGGGTGCGCAGATGGCGGGCGGCTCTGGATCAGGCGGCGGGCGTGCAGCAGGGCGCCAGCGCGGGCCCAGCCCCAGGCGGGCAACGGCGTGGGCACGTGGTCGCGGACGGCAGGCAGCAAGTGGGGGGCAACCGATGGGCCGATGTGGAAGTGTTGGGTGTGTGGGCTGGGCGACCAGTTCGGCTTCCGCACCCACTGCCGCGACCCCCACAGCCATGCGCCACGTGCTGGAGGTGCCTGTTCGGCGGCTCGCGCGGGCGCAAAGCAGCAGGCGGCCTCCCTGGCGGCGAAGCTCAAGGCGGTCGAAGAGCGGGAGAAGGCCCTCCAGGCGAAGGCCAAGGCCCTGGAGGACACTTCCGCCGAGGCAGGAGCTGGGGCGGGCCAGGAGAACGCGCGGCCCTGGACCAAGGGGCCGAGCGAGGCAGAGAAGTGGCTGCGCAAGAAGAAGTGGCTCGAGACGGAGTTCGACTGCTCGTCGGGCCAAGTGGGCGGAGGCGCTCGCGGACGTGAAGGCGCAGCTGCGGTCAGTTCGCGAGTCGCGGGACCGCACTAAACCCACGACTGCGCAGCTGCGCGAGGCCAACTTCCGCGCCGAGAAGGCGGCGGTCACGCTGGTCGCAGCGGAGGCTGAGGAGCAACGGTGCCAAGCAGCACTGCAGGCGGCGTGCGCCAAGGTGCAGGAGGCCAAGCAGGCTGAGGAGGCGGCTCGCGCGTACCAGGTCGAGGTCCAGGCTCGCGTTGATGCAGAATTGCCGAGTCGAGGCGTCGCCAACGACGTGGGCGTGCCCTACGTGCAGCGCGTGCACCTCGCAGGCCGAGTGGGGGCCAGCCTCGAGGAGCTTGGGCTGGCAGCGGGCCTCGCCAAGCTGGCAGCCGACCTGGGGCGGAGGGCTGCTGAGGAGGTGCATGCAGCTCCTGGTGGTGAGCCATCTGCTGCTGGTGGGGGCGATGGGTGCGCAGCATCGCCAGGAACACCAGGGCAGCCCGCAGATGCCCCAGGAGCAGTGCCAGGGAGCGGGGCCGAGCCAGCAGCACCTGCGACGGCCGTGGACGAAGAAGCCCCACCCCTCTCTGAGGAAGAGGAGGCATGGCTCGCTGGTGCTGCAGCGGCGCCTGATAGAGCCACCCAGCCAGACAATCACAACCGCTATGTCGAGGTGCTGCAGCAGGCGAACTCACGGCTGGCGAAGAGGCCGCGGCAAGGGTAATGCGCTGCTCTACGTGGTGCTTCAGGGCCACAGGATCGGGGTCGCGCCGCCTCCGTGGGCCAAGGAGGTCAGGCAGTTGCTGGACTCCACCCTCTTGTTGCCGTGGGGTGCAGGGGACGAGGTGCGTGATGACAGAGGTGGCTCCGAGGTTCACCCTTGTGCGCGCGGGGCTGGCGGTGCGATATCCATCCAGGCGGCGGCGCGGAATCCTGGACGAGAGCCAGTTCAAGTTGATGGCGCCACGGACACGGACGTGAGCCCCCCCCGCCCCGCAGGAGGGGTTCGCCATCCTGGTGATGCAGCATCAGGGACTTGCCCTAGTCGCCCCCGTCGGAGGTCCAGCAGCGGCGAGCGCGCCCTTGAAAGGGCTCGCTGCGCTGCTGGCAAAGGCAGGGTCAGGGTAGCTGTCGTGGAGCCGCGGGTGCGGCAAGCATGTCGAGGAGTGGCAGGTGGCCATTCTCAACATCAATGCCTTCAGCAATTTCGACAAGTGCATGGAGGTGGAGGACGCGCAGGGCTGCGACGCGGTGCTGTTCCAGGAACCAGGCTGACGGCGGGCGGGGGCAGGACGCTGAGGCCCAGGCGCGAGCAGCAGACTGGAGAGGACGGTGTACGGTAGCAATCGCGTCAGAGGCAGGAGGCCTAGGCACAGGGGGGCCGTTGACGATGGTGAAGCCGTACATCACAGGTGGCGACTTCAACGTAGAGTACGACGAGCTGGTGCAGAGCGACCTCCTGAAGTGTTTCGACGCAGAGGTTGCGAGGCCAGCGGTGGCGACCTGCGCCGCCTCGGGCAGGGCCATTGACTTCTCCCTGGTCCCGCGCGAGATGCAGGTTGTCAGTGTGCAGATGTTGCCAGGATCGCCCGTGCTTTCCCGCTCGCCTGTCATCCTGAAGGTCAAGGCACTTGGGGCGCGGCCGCGGTTGCAGGTCGCGCAGGCGCACAAGCTCTTCCCCACGGCGAGGCCGTCGGGCTGCTGCAAGTCAGACCGGGATGCCACCCGGGTCGATGTTGGTCAGTCTGTGCAGCGAGTGCTTGACACCGCGCGAGGAGATGCAGCAGGGGGCGATAGCATGATTGGGCAGCCCACGGCGCTGACGATGGCCTGGCGCACTTGCCTCGCGGCAGCGGAGCAAGACCAGGTGGGCATATTTCAAGTGGATGACAATTCTCAGGAGTACGTCGGGCGTTCGGATCGCGTCAGAGGGCCAGAGGCCCCAAGAGAAGACGACGGCGCTGAGGAGCCCCCCCCCCGCCCGGCGAGGGGCGCGCCCGAGCGGCTGCAGGCCAGGGCTGCTCGGGGGCAGGCCCCCGGCGCCGACCGCGCCGCGGGCCTGGCAGGAGCCGCGCTGCGGTAGTGGAAGGTTGTGAAAGACGAGGAGGTCAGCCGCGCGCCCGCTCAGGTGCTGCTATGGATAGCTGAGCAGGCACGCGCCGATGCTCGAGCATTGGCGCAGCGGGGCCTCGATGGGTTAGGCCACAGCTACGAGGGGGAGCAGGGGGGCTACATGCCGTCACGCGAGACCCATCGGTTGGCAGGGCAGCCCGGCTGACCAGGGGCAGGCGTGGGGCACGCCGGCCAGCCAGGAGGTTGAGCTACGCCAGCTGGAAGATGAGTGGCGGAGGCCCTGGAGAGTCGAGCGCGAGCAGTTCAGCGCGCGCTGGCCCAAGGACCTGGGCGAGCGCCCTCCCAGGCCCACGTTGGAAGACCTAAAAAAGTGCCTGTGGTCTTTTCGGCGAGGCACTGCAGACTCCCTTGAGGGCATTCGGCCGAGGCAGCTGCTGGAGCTGCGCAATGGGGCGCTGGAGGCGCTGACAGACATTCTGATGGAGGTGGAAAGAGCAGCGGAGTGGCCCAGCCTCACCGCCAAGGTGTGCTTCCTCGCGAAGCGGCTGGGAGGGGTGAGGCCGATCGCTATCATCATGGTGATGGCGAGGGCGCGGGCGCGACACAGGAGATCCATCGCGCTGGAGTGGGAGAGGCGCAACGACAGGCCCGTCTTCTGGGCCGCCCGATGTCGTTGATGTGAACGGGCAGCGTGGCAGCAGGCGGCTGGGCGTGAGTGGGCGACGGCCAGAGGGCGCTAACAGCGTGATCCAGAAGCGTGGGCCTCGGTGCTCGCGATGGTGGACCTGCTGGAGGCGCGCGAGCAAGCGCGCCACCACCACCTTGTCGAGGCAGCGGTCAGTAAGGGCTCCCCGCTGTGGCAGTTGAAGTTGCAGATCGACTTGCACCGCTCGCCTCGGCGGTTCACACTCGGCGTGGGCGTGGGAGATTAAAGCTTCAGGTGGGCCAAGCCGTATTGCCAGGGGATGCGTTTGCCACGCGCATGCTCAAGATGCTGCTCCTGGCTCCGTTGGATAGGCCACGCGAGGCGCATCCGACGGTGGGGCGCGCGGTCGTGGTCGACGAAATCATTGTCAGGAGGACAGGCAGCTTGGCGAGGACAGTGCGGGAGGTTGGGGGCGCGGTCTTCAGGCTCAAGACATTGCTGGGCGAGGCCGACCTGCACGTCGCGACGACGAGGTCGCGCACCCTGACAAATCAACCGGAGGCCCGCGCAGCAGTTGCGCAGCGCTTGAGGAGGCCGCTGGGTGTGATCGACGTCGAGCAAGAGCGGGGCCTGGGCGTCGACTTCAGCGGGGGCAAGAGGATGGGCAGAGCTGTGAGAGGGCAGAGGCTGCAGGCTGCGCAGCAGAGGCCGAGCAGGTTCGGAGTGTTCAAGAAGGGCAAGGCGAAGAGGAGGGCGGCGAGCAGGGTTGTCAAGACGGGGCTGCAGCCCAGCGTTGCATATGGAGTGGCGGTGTCAGGCATGGCGAAGGGCGAGCTGGGCGAGGCCAGGAGCCTGGCTTTCTGCGCGACGGCACCCAGCGCGGCGGGCAGGTCGCGCGCGCTCTCTGAGGCTTCGTGGACGTTCATGGGGATCTCGTTGGATGCCTCTCGAGGGCTTCTTGGAGACTCTCGGGGGTCGTTGTCGAGCCTCTTGGGGTTTCTTTCGGGCCCCTTGTCGCCTCTGGGGGCCTCTTGGGGGCCTCTTGGAGCCTTCAGGAGGCCTCTTGGAGCGGAAGGCTCGGATTCTCGGCTCGTGGTCTCCATGTTGGGCCCCTCTTGGGGCCTTCTTGTGGTCCTCTTGGATCGTCTTGGGCGCCGCTTGGGCTGCCGTGGGGCCCTCTTGGGCGGTCTTGGGGCTCTCTTGGAGGCCTCTTGGGCCGTCTTGGGGTGGTCGCGGAGGTTTCTTGGGCCGTCTTGGAGCGTCGGAAAGGCGAAAAGGCGAGGGAGCCAAAAACCTTGAAGAACCCGATGGAAATACATGGTTTTGGCCTGTTGGGGCTCTTTTGGAAAGGATCGGGGCTCTCTTGGGGCGTCTTGGATGCTTCTTGGGCCGTCTCGAGACCGCGTTGGGCGTCCTGGGCCGATCGCTCGGTGATTCGGAACCCTCTTGGACCGTCTTGGATTCATGTTGGGGCCCTCTTGGAGCGCTCCGGAGAGCGCGCGAGGCCGCGCCCAGGAGGAGAACCATCTCTGAACTGAGTTTGCCGGGAGTGCCCCGGGACCTTGCCGGTGCACTTTTCGCCCGGGCCCCCCCGGGGGCCGCCCCGCGCGCGCGAACTAGAAATATTGTTAAGCAATCGCCGGAGATCTTAGCACGCCTCTGGCCCGTTGTTGAATGCGCAAGATCTACGATTACAATTCTTGTTTTTCCCAACCATCCTGTGGTGTTGGGTCATCGTTTTGAAGAGACGGTCCCCGCGTCCTCCTCTCCTCTCCTCCTCTCCTCTCCTCTCCTCCTCCTCCCCCTCCTCCTCCCTCCTCCCCCTCTTCCTTGCGTTTCACCCACCCAGTACAGCGTCTCGTAACCCCATAGGAGCTCCGCCGAAGGCCCCAATGTTGCCGCCCGCATGCGTCACCCACACCCAATTCGGCACACCCCTCACACGTTTCGTGGCTCCACAGGGAGGCCCGCCGAAGGCCCCAGTGCTGCCGCCCGCGCGCGTCACCCACACCCAATTCGGCACACCCCTCACACGCTTCGTGGCTCCATAGGAGCTCCGCCGAAGGCCCCAGCGCTGCCGCCCGCATGCGTAACCCACGCCCGATTCGGCACACCCCTCACGCGCTTCGTGGCCCCATAGGAGCTCCGCCGAAGGCCCCAGTGCTGCCGCCCGCCTGCTGCCGCCCGCATGCGTCACCCACGCCCGCCCCAGCGCTGCCGCCCGCGTGCGTCACGCACACCCAATTCGGCACAGCCCTCACACGTTTCGTGGCCCCATCGGACCCCCGCCGAAGGCCCCAGCGCTGCCGCCCGCATGCGTCACCCACACCCAATTCGGCACACCCCTCACACGTTTCGTGGCCCCCTAGGAGCTCCGCCGAAGGCCCCAGTGCTGCCGCCCGCATGCGTCCCGCACACCCATTTCGGCACACCCCTCACAGTTTCGTGGCCCCATTGGAGCCGAAGGCCCCAGCGCTGCCGCCCGCATGCGTCACGCACACCCAATTCGGCACACCCCTCACACGTTTCGTGGCCCCATAGGAGCTCCCCGAAGGCCCTGCTGCCGCCCGCATGCGTCACCCACACCCAATTGCACACCCCTCACACGTTTCGTGGCCCCCTCGCCGAATGCCGTGCGCACCCACACCCAATTCGGCACACCCCTCACACTTCCGTGGCCCCATAGGGAGCTCCCGCCGAAGGCCCCAGCGCTGCCGCCCGCATGCGTCACGCACACCCAATTCGGCACACCCCTCACACGCTTCGTGGCCCCATAGGGAGCTCCGCCGAAGGCCCCAGCGCTGCCGCCCGCATGCGTCACGCACACCCAAGTCGGCACACCCCTCACACGTTTCGTGGCCCCATAGGGAGCTCCGCCGAAGGCCCCAGCGCTGCCGCCCGCATGCGTCACGCACACGCAATTCGGCACACCCTCACACGCTTCGTGGCCCCATAGGGAGCTCCGCCGAAGGCCCCAGTGCTGCCGCCCGCATGCGTCACCCACACCCAAGTCGGCACACCCCTCACACGTTTCGTGGCCCCATAGGGGGCTCAGCCGAAAGCCCCAGTGCTGCCGCCCGCATGCGTCCCGCACACCCATTTCGGCACACCCTTCACACGCTTCGTGGCCCCATAGGGAGCTCCGCCGAAGGCCCCAGCGCTGCCGCCCGCATGCGTCTCGCATACCCATTTCGGCACACCCCTTACACGTTTCGTGGCCTCATAGGGAACTCTACCGAAGGCCCCAGCGCTGCCGCCCGCACGCGTCACGCACACGCAATTCGGCACACCCCATCACACGTTTCGTGGCCCCATAGGGAGCTTCGCCGAAGGCCCCAGTGCTGCCGCCCGCGTGCGTCACGCACACCCAATTCGGCACACCCTCACACGCTTCGTGGCCCCATAGGGAGCTCCGCCGAAGGCCCCAGTGCTGCCGCCCGCATGCGCCCCGCACATTCCTTTCGGCACCCCTCACACGTTTCGTGGCCCCACAGGGGGCTCCACCGAAGGCGCCAGAGTGCTGCCGCCCGCATGCGTCCCGCACGCCCATTTCGGCACCCCTCACGCGTTTCGTGGCCACATAGGGAATGCGCCCCGCACACCCATGTCGGCATACCCTTCACACGTTTCGTGGCCTCATAGGGAGCCCCACCGAAGGCCCCAGTGGGTGTGCCCGCGCGCGTCCCGCACATCCATTTCGGCACACCCCTCGCGCGTTTCGTGACCCCTCACACGTTTCGTGGTCCCATAGGGAGCTCCACCGAAGGCCCCACTTGGTGTGCCCGCATGCGTCCCGCACACCCATTTTGGCACACCCCTCACACGTTTCGTGGCCCCATAGGGAGCTCCGCCGAAGGCCCCAGCGCTGCCGCCCGCATGCGTCACGCACACCCAATTCGGCACACCCTCACACGTTTCGTGGCCCCATAGGGAGCTCCGCCGAAGGCCCCGGTGGGTGTGCCCGCATGCGTCCCGCACACTCATTTTGGCACACCCCTCGCGCGTTTCGGCCGTGCACGTTTTGTGGTCCCATAGGGAGCTCCACCGAAGGCTCCATTGGGTGTGCCCGCATGCGTCCCGCACACCCATTTCGGCACACCCCTCGTGCGTGTCGCGGCCCCGTAGGGAGCTCCACCAAAGAAGATATTCACAAGCGCGGTACCCACAATTGCATATGGTTGAGTCCTTCGCCAGGATAATTTACTACTACTACTACTACTACTACTACTACTACTACTACTACTACTACTACTACTACTACTACTACTACTACTACTACTACTACCACTACTACCACTACTACTCTACTACCCTACTACTACTACTACTTGTTATTACTACTACTACTACTACTACTACT